ATAACTTTACGATACACTTAATTTCGACAATCGCGCTAAAACAAACGCTATAACAACGAACGTTAACTTCAACAATACTTTCTCACTGCAGATCAATTACTCACTGTCTACACACACATTACATTATTGTCACGTTGTGAGCGTCTTATATATATATACCAGACAAATATATATCTAGTAAATGCTAGGGCATTCACGAAGGAACAAGATACTTCTAGAAAATAGGTGGCGTCAAAATAGTCACGTGATCTCGCTGACGCAACAATACGTATTGTGATTGGTAAGCTATATATCAATCAGACATGTAAAAGGAGCCTTACATATATTGATAGCAAATTATTTCGATACTAGATTTGTTGATCCCTTTCTTTAGTTAGATCCTGTGATTTGTTTGTTAATTATGTTAGATATCCACTTAGGGTGTCGATGACCAAGAAGTACCTCAAGACAGAAGAAGAAGATTGGGCTTTTCTTACTTCCTTTATGGTTATTGTCTCAATGAAGTGAGATTCAACATCTAAAAAAATTAAGGTGATTTGTATTTTGTCATAAAGTCTTCTGATTAGATCACTTAAGCTATGAGCAGGGCAAAGAAGATATATTCATTTCTGAGCACTCCCGAATCCTAGAACCCAAATACTTGCAAGGATAAACAAACAAATGATGTCAGGTTAGCAGAAACATAAAAGCAAACAAGACAATCCTAGATCGAGCCTACTAGTATTTTTGTCTCCTGTCACAGCATTCCACCCACCTCCAAAATTTTCTCACTCAGAGTTGAATGAATTGATTAGAAAGCCTATTTGATAACAGAAATGGTATAAATCAACCAAATGATGGACAATTATTATTCCTGATTACCTTGAAGATTGTCCTCTTTTGAGGCATAGATTGTACAGCCATACCATGTAATCCCAATCAAATCCAGTCTTCAAGCACTTACACCATAACATCTTTTCCTCACTAGTTGATTTGAATCTTTCTCCGATAAAATTATGTATGGCATCAATGATGTTCCTTAGTCTTACTATATACTCTGGGTAGGACTCTGGGTACCTAAGATAGCCCTCAGGGTGAGTACGA